GCAGGTCTGCCTGGGCTGGAGGCGGGGGCTGGTTCCCCGGAGGGGAAATACCTGCCTGTGCTTTTGTTCCCAGAGCCTCCGTCCCCTGGGAAAGATGTTTCGCGGTGCCAAGCTGCAGCCTTTGCTCGCACGTGTTCCGGCTGCCTTTTGTCTCTCCTGCTGCTCTCGGTCCTTTGCTGGAGGTGTCCGTGCATCCTCCTCCCCGGCTCCGGCTGCTTCTCCCGCTGCCCCATGTTCGTTATCCCTGCCTGTCTTCCCTAGCAGCGTAACTGGTGGGTGACGGGCCGTTCTGCCTCAGTGTGGGGAGCAGGTCTGGGTTTGTAGGGTCAGACTTACTGAGTGATCTAGGGGCAGGTGGAGGGGGACAGCCTGGACCGTGGCATCCCTCACGGAGCCACTGCCTTTTAGCCAACCATCTCCCAAAATCCTTACACCAGCCAATTATCTTCACACACATCCACACACACCCCCTTAATTTGCTTGCTCTGTTCTGCAAAGGGCTTCCTCTCTCCACTTTGTGTGCCAGCAGAGCACTTCTCACACCCCGCTGCTCGAGCATACCCCCGCCAAGGGCCCCTTGTTTCCTCTTGGGGAAATCCCCTCCCTGCAGAGCAGCACCTTCCTGCACCGAGCTCTTATGCAAACTGTGCAGAAGGAATCAAATGGAGGCCCAGACCAAGTAGTTAGATGGGTGCCGTTTCTACTATGACTGCCCTTTTGTTTCGGTTTTTCACAGGAAGAGCTTGGAATAGCAGTGGGATGCTCCATGTTTGGCACAGGGTGGGCACCCGGGCCCTGCAGAACCAGCATGGCTTTGCTTTTGCTTCCAGCTGGAACTGAGCAGTTTCTGTTATCTCTGTGTGCAATGCAAAAGCCCATCAGGCTCTCCTTTTTCCATAGCTCGTTTGGGAAACTATGGCCTAGAGATAGGTGAGCTGGGAGAAGCGGTGTAAACAAGGTCTAGCTTTCCGGGAGGTTTCACTTCCCACACACAGAAGTTGTGCTCCAGGTGCACAACTCCATGTAGTGGAGAAGATAGACTCACTGCTTACATGGTTATCTTAAAGATTGAGCCAGGTCTGCCCCCTTCCATGCACCCCAGTGCCTTGTGCCCCAAAAGCCTTTGTATTAGGGCCAGAGCCAGGAGTTCTGCAGGAAAACTGCAAACTCCAGAGCTTAGGGGTGACCGGCTTTCAGTGCTAGAGGTGCATGTGGCTTCCAGACGCGTTGAGAGCAATCCCGGGGTGGCTGCTGTGAGGGTAACCAGGTAATCCAAATCCTGGCTTGTAGGAAGAGTCCAGCTGGAAATAGAAATGTCCTCTTAGAGTTTTGGTTGATGGATAATTGTAATTGAGGCTCCCAGCTCTCCTAGTTCTACGCTGTGGTCTTCGAAGCCCTTTTCTCCTCCTTCCTGCTCATGCACAAAACTGTGCTGTTGTTTTCACCATGGAGATTTCCCTCCTGTTGGTGAGTGATACACAGAACACTTTCCTAGGTTGTTAATTCTGTATCATCGGTAATAATAAATATACAGCGCTGGGTATTATTAGTACGGTGGTTGTTTGCGTGCGTTACTTTGGAGCCAAACCACTGTACGGTTATTTCGTCTGATGGTTAACCGGAACGGTGCCAGGTTGGTACTTGAAGTGCCTGAGTCATAAGCAAGCGGAGCGCTTCCACGACGAGGCCGGTGCGAGGCAGGGCTCTCTGGAGCTGTGCTTTGAGGTGATGCTTGGGTGATGCTTCTGTCCTGGTGCCGGACTAAGTGGGGCTCTGGTGTTTCCCTTACATTTTGCCTCTGCCTCCTGCAGCCCCCATCAGGAATTTCTTAGGGCCGCAGTCCTTGCAGCTGCTCCAGGGAGTCTCGTGCTTGGTGGTGGGCTCTCCAGGGCATGGAGATTTGGCTTGAGAAGTGGCTCTCAAAAGGATTGTGCATTGCACTTGGAGGTCCTGCGGACGAGGCCAGCAGCCTCTCGTGCTGCAGCAGTCTCAAAGGAGTCTGTAGCAGATGAGCCTTGTGCCGTTACGTTACTTCTTCCACCACCTCTGTTTTGCTGTGCTCGTGCCTGCAGATGGTCTGGTTCTCGTAGAGAAGAAACCTCTCCTTGTCTACTCTGGGTTGGTATAGCCACGCTGGGGCTATGACCTTTTGGTCTCAGTGAAGCAGATGGGCTAAGCAGCAGGGAGGTGAAATAGTTAAGCTGGGTAAATGAGAGGTCCCAAAGGAGGGAGCTTCAGCAGCTTCTCTGTCACATTAGATTTTCTTCTTAGACTTTGTCCTAAATAGTATCCATCTCTTAATCTAAAATAAGAAATCGCTTGTGTTTACCCAGATACTCCTTTTTATCTTGATTTTTCCCCTCCCCTCCCTTTGATTCTGTCTGAGTAGGCTCATCTTGGCCTAATGTGCTTTCTTCCTAGTCGCCCATGTTTGATGGCAAAGTCCCTCACTGGCACCACTACAGCTGCTTCTGGAAGCGGGCTCGAATCGTGTCCCACGCAGACATTGACGGTTTCCCTGAGCTCCGGTGGGAAGATCAGGAGAAAATCAAGAAAGCCATTGAAACTGGAGGTCCTGGAGGAGGTAAGCAGAGGTCTCCTGGAGTTTGAAGGTTCAGCTGGAACCATGCTCCCTCTTCTCAAGCTGTTACTGTGGTTATTTCATTGCCATGTCCCTTCAGCAAGTGATGTCAGAAGAATTGTTGTGGCATCTCTGCGCTCTGGGGCTAAGACGCTGGGAATATGATCCAGCACGTTAAATCAGCAAGGGAAAAAGCCGAGTCAATTGGCAGGTGTATTGCCAAATATTTCTTGTTATCATGTTTCCAGTTCTTAATGTTAACGAATGCTGTTGTGGTACATTGTTCTAATGGTACCTTCGCTGCAATGTGTGGTTACGGTGGCTCTTCAGTCGTTATGCTATGAACTGGTGAGTCAGGGGAGCAAGGGAGAAGCGTCTTGAGTACAGACCAGACTAAACTCACCACATCTCTGTGGAAACCCAGGATGCTGAGCAGTTTTGGTTTGATGTCTGCCTGTTGAAATGTAGTAATACTAAAAATAAAAAACTGGCACTTGGGACAAGGAGTTCAGTGTTGAAGCAGAGCTATTTGTGACTCCTCTTACAGTCAGTTCTTCGGTAAGATCTCATTTTGCACTACTTTCTGGAAAGAATTAAAAGGGGTCAGCTCTGTGCACCTTTGAAAATCTTTAAAAATCATTAAATAAGCAATCGTGTACAATTGCTGCTTGGCTGTTTAAAGAACTCGTTTTCTATTTTAAAAGTGCTTTTGAGCATGGACTGCTTGTCTTGCTCTGGATTCAAATTCTTGACAGATGAGTTGCTGGAACACAGAGGTTTATTAATCCAGACTGCTAACAATCTGGGACAGAGAATAAGAAAATAAGGGAATGCCTTTTCAAGCTGAACTCTTTATTTGCCTTTGTTCTGCAGGAAAAGGAGGGGAACAGGAAGGAGGTGGCAAGGCTGAGAAGAGCCTAAATGACTTTGCTGCAGAATATGCCAAGTCTAACAGAAGTACTTGCAAAGGCTGTGAGCAGAAAATAGAAAAGGTAAAGAGTGTTTTCTTCATTCTCCACCTCTTGTCTTCATTTCTACCAGTTCCAGTTCAGACAGTGATTTTATAATTGCTTCCTGCCTCTCCTGCATATGGAAAGCACTTGCAGAGCTGCATTTCTGTGTCTGAGGAGCAGCTGTGTCCTGGATAGATGACCGTAAAGGCATCCCTCGGGCGTTGTAGCCTGGGCTTCAAACCTGCTGATGCTTCCTTTCATTTGGGCCTTAGAGCAGGCAAGAACACTGCTCGCCAGCATTTCTGTGGCCAGAGAGCCTCCACTAACAGCAGCTTTCCCTGCTTCTTGCAGCGCTGCAAAGGTGTTGGCCTCTTCCTCCTCCTTAGCCAGACTGGCTCTGTTTGTGTGCAGTGTCTATAGTCATTCTGTGACAGCAGATAAAACACCAGTGCAGCTAATGAACGATGCAGCCCTGTAGTTGAATGTGTCTCGATGCCCTGGTCTTAAAGACACTTGGCAAAGTGAAGTTGTAAGCTTCAGATGGATGCAAATACACCTGCCAGCTGGGTAAAGTTGGCAAGGGCCAAACACCGGTGCTGGTATGCTCGTATCTGCAGAAACCTTGGTGACTGTTGTGTAGATGTTTCCTTGTTGGATTTCTTTTTAAAAGCCCCCAAACCAGCTACCTTTTGCCCACCTGAAAAGTAATTCACAGTGAGGTGGGGTGAGATGATGTTAGCACTGGTGCTTGAGTGGCACGGACATGAAGTTAATTGTTAGTCGCGGTTTGGCCACGTGAGTTTTTTGCTTGTTCTACTGGGAGTTGGCGTAAAAACTACAGGATTACCCAGAAAACTACATAAAAAGCTGGCTTTTTTGCAACCTAGAAAGAGTACTGAAGAAAGCAGAGGAACTGTAGTGAAAGGGCTTAGACAAAAGTTGCAGACTTTGATAGAGGAACTGTTGCTATTTTTCAGGTGTTTAGGAAGCATTGGGTTGTTAACGTGTTAGCATCCTGCTCTTTCCAGAATGGTCTAACGATTGTTCTTGTGTCACTTTAATCTATCTCAGGGCCAGATCCGGATTTCCAAGAAGATGGTGCATCCTGAAAAGCCGCAGCTGGGAATGATAGACAACTGGTACCACCCGGACTGCTTTGTGAGCCGCCGAGCAGAACTGGGCTTCCTCCCGGTGTACGGAGCCTCCCAGCTCCTAGGCTTCAGCATCTTGAAAGCTGAAGATAAGGAAACTCTGAAAAAGCAGCTCCCAGCCACCAAGAGTGAAGGGTATGTGGGCAATGTAAGAAATTGTGTTGTCTGGAGGAGCTGTTGCTTGCCTTCAAATACATCCGTGATAAATGTTTTGTGACATTGTTGTCTCCATTAAAAGAATATTGGTCGTAGGAAGATTTGGTCCTTCCCATGACCTTAGGCAGATGATAGTGGACAAATTCCCCGTCCCTGGGAGTGTGCAGTGCACTTGCCGCTGTGAGTGGCTTGAGAAAACGCAGAGACCAGCAGCTGTGACTTGGAGGACTGATGTAGAGCTTTTAACCGTAAAGTAATCACGTTTAGTACAAATGGGTGCTGGGCTCTGCGCCTCCTTGTGCGATGCCATTATCGGCAATGTTTTCTCTTCTCTAACCACTTGTTAGAGAATTGATTTGACATCTCTTATCTGTGAGCTGCTGATCTGTGACAGGCACTGAGTCTGATAATGGCGTTTATCGGCCGTGCAGTGCTTACACTTGGATGCTTTTCTTTGCTAAATCTTTTATGGTACGCCTGAAATTTCATTGCTGTGCGTTGAAATTTTTAGTGGAGGCTCTTGATACAACTTGTACTGACAGAGAAGCGCTTCCAGGTGACTTGCTAGCTCTGGTCAATCTCTCTCTGTTAATGAAGACTCTTGTTACTTGGTTTTGAAGTGACTTCACCTAGAGTCATGACACATAACACAAGCCAGTGGTTTTTCCCCATGGAGGAAAGAACATAAGGTGTTTCTGGGTCCTAACAAATAGGAAAGATCTTGTAAAACATTGGCCTTCTCCATGTACCTTGTAGACTGAATTCAGCTTTACTTTTGCGAGGACTCAACGTGAAACTGTCCAGCGAGACTGATGTCAGGTTTGGAGAAGCCGTAGCCATGTCAAATATGTGCAGTCTTTGTCAGTCCTAGTCCTCCAGGTACATGATTGATGGGCATGGCATACTGTTCTGAGCCTTGCGTGTATGCCAACATCATCCTCAGCCGTAGGCAACAGAGGGGAGCGTGCCTAGGCTGATCTGTCTTGTTAAGAGGCTGCAGCTTCCACGCTGTATCCTTGGTTGACAAGCAGTCGCCCCAGAAGCGTGCAGCAGTGTTGCGGGTGCCATGGGGAAGGTCCTGCAGACGAGCTGTCTGCATCTGCTTGGCAGCCTGCCCTCTTTTCACACAGACGTTTTACCTCTCTGTTGCAGGACACAAGTAGAACTATGGTGTTGTGATGGACTTGGAGCTTTTCGGGCAGTCCTTTGCTTCTTGTGCCAAGGCGTGTGTTCTGCTTTGTCCTAGAACAGGGTGTGAGTTTAACAGGGTTATTTGTAGTTTTCTCCATGTCTCCAGCAAAGCTCTAGAGATTTGACTGTGTAAGTGTTTCTCTTGTCTGCCCTGACTCTGCTTTGAAGAGCCGCTTCTGGGATGCTATGCAGAATCTGAAGGCTCTCTAAAGATAGGCCACGGAGCAGTTTGTCAAGTCACTGTGTAAATAAAAGCCTAGAATTGCAGTGGAAAAAAGCTTAGGCTGGTGATGTCGGGTAATGTGAACCAGGTCCTCACGCCAGAAAAGCAGTGGGACATCTCATCTTTCCTGCTTTCTAAGCACTGCATGGACAAGCCCCTCAGCCGTGAAGGTGGCGGCTGGCTCTTATGCTCCGCTACCTTTCTTCTGCTGTCTGGGCTGTGTGCTCGAGCCAAGGGTACTGAGGGTCAGTTGGAAAAATGGTTGTCTGTCAAACAAACTGAGTGAGTGAGTGTGTAAATAAACAGGAGTGGAGAGGTGTGGTGTGCTTCTCACCTGGTGATTTTCTGCCAAGAAAGCACAAAAGCTCTGGAGAAAAACACCCCAGAAACTTAAATGAGGTGTGGTTACCCCTGATAATTCCTCCTGTGTGTTCAATCAGATAATAGAAATGAACGACAGAAGTTACAGCATCCCACAGAAATGATGTTACAGCGTCAGATGTAGGTGAGATTCTCAAAATTACCTTCAAAGATGTTTCTGATTGTGTCGCATCCAAATTATATCTTGACTCAGCTGTCTCCACAGTTTGGACACGACACATACATGTCTGTGTGCTGCTTCTGCGTGATGAGCCCGTACTGCTCAGAGATGCTCAGACTTTGGGAGTGCCCCAACAGCCCTTTCTGTCAGGGCAACAGTGGGATGTGCCTGTTGCGGATGAGAGGAGTGAGGTGCTGCGCAGGGCTGACAAGAATAGGTTGGAAAATCCCTTCCCGCTGAAGGGCAAAAATGGGATGGTTTCCTGCAAGGATCCTGGCTCTTTTCCTCGGTCAGAGCTGGGTGAACAGTGCTGACCCTCCCCTGTGCTACGGGCTGTCGTGCCCATGTGCCAGCACTCTGTGGGCCTGGGGGAGGAGGATGCTGTGTCCTTCCTTGCCAGCAGCTTCTCTGTGGAAAGAGCGCTCGTGTACTGATGCAGGAAAGGTAGTAGCAGCTTGCGAGCTCCCTGTGACTGCTTCTTCGGTAGCCTGTGCTTAGGCCTCCTGCTCCGAACTGTAACACTTCCCTGGATTTTCTGCCTCAATTGCTTGGGTAGGGCCGGTGTGCAGGGCAGGAGCACAGTGTCATTCTGGAGGCGTCATGCAGCACCAGATTGACTGCAGAGATTGCCTGAGGCCAAGGGTAAGTACTGGGGCAGGAGCAATCTGGCAGTGCTTTACAAGAGGAAGGAGAAAAGGGGAGTACTTGTTTCTCCCTGAGCCAGCTGCTTGCTTTATCCGGGGTTGCTGTGACTGTCCTTTCCACCCTTCGTTTTCATAGTAGCAGGGGAGCATGAAAAATAGGGAGTAGATGGTAAGGAAGAGCCAGGTTAGAGTGGGACAGTTCACTTCCCTCTTCATCTTCTCAGAAGTTGGAACGAGTCTTGTGGTTGTGTATCTTCCATGAAGGTGAGAATTGGTTTGTGTTGGCTGGTAGGTACCAGTGCTACGCAAGCTGTGGGGCTGTACCTGGTGAATGTGGGAAGACTGTCCCTTCCCCAGCAGAAAGGGTGTACATGGTAGCACCCAGCTGCTGATAGCAACCCACGGTGCTTGGTCCCAGGGGTGGACGATAAAGCTAACGTGTGTGTGTTTTGTCGATTTTTCTAAAATTTGCCTTTTTGGGAAGATGAGTTGAGCTTTGCCATTCCCTTCTCCAGGCTGTGTAAAATGATGCCTAGTGTTTGCTTTAAGCCTTGGTCGTAGCCAGGGACAAAGTAAGAGGTAGTGACTGACAGCTTTATGCCTCTGCAATTGGGATGTGGTTTGTTCAGGTGGCTGGAACAGGTACAGTAATCGCTCTGTCTGGGTGTGCAGCCCACTGTCCCCTTGACTTTGGGGAGAAGTTGCCAAAAGTGCGAGTCCCTGATGGAATTCAGATGCTTTCCCCTTTGTCACAAGGCCTCTCGACAGGGTGATTGCCTTCCAGCAGCTAGTGTGATGGCTTTCCTCCTTTTGGAGACTGGGAGACAAGTCAGGGCATAGGAGTGAGCACTGGCTTGCTGGAGGCAGCCCGCCTGTCAGCCTGCCGAGGGAGAGGCACTGCAGGTACGCAGCGTTTGGGCACCCATCCTAAATACTTACATTATTAAGCCCTCTAGCTTGGGAAGGTGCAGCAGAGTGCTTTGCAGTCAAGCTGATATGTTTTTCCCAGATTTTGTTGTGTACCTGTGACTGTTAAGTAAACTTACAGAAGTCATGATCCTCGTGGTGGGGCTCAGCAGATACTCTGGTCTTGCCCCGTGCAGGGGCTACAGCCAGGAGAGGAGGGGTGACTTGCTTGGCCTGGAGACTTTTGAAGGCATGGCTCTGTGTGCTGTGTCCAGTCCTGCCATGCTGGTTCCTGCTCGCCTGATTTGGAAGACAACATGGAGTTTTTGTCAAGGACATGCAGTTGCTGGTGGTTCAGTATGGCAGTTGTCACCTGAGGCAGCGTGCCTTACAGCGTCAACCCAGCTCCACTGATGGGACCTTGCAGGGGGACAACTGCCAGATGGACAGATGAGCTTCTGCAAAACCAGCCCCTCAGAGACTTACAAGATGCTCTGAGCCATGGTTTGGTCAGGAGTGCAGGTGCTTGAGCTACTGGTGGTCCCTGCAAGTAGAATGAGAACTTGGCCCAGTTTTAGGGCCAGGACAGTTACTAGAATTTACAGGTCTCTTATGCACGAGTGTTTGGGAGAAGAGTACCTTCTGACATCCTCCTACAGCTTTATAGCTAATAAGCTGTCATACGGGGTTAGTCTTAACGGTAGCAAAGCACTAGAAAGTGAAGTGTTTAAAATTGTAAGTATGAGAGCAATTGAGAATGTCAACTTTATGGCGTAACCATCAGCCACAGCTGATAAAGTTAAGACAGATGCTTTCTTAAAAAAGAAACCTGGCTGATGTTTTGAAACAACAGCAGCTCTGACAAAATGAGGTGCGAGATCCAAGCTGTGTTCATGCTCTGCCTTAAGTTGCAGCCCATCCTGCCTGGAGCGGGGCAGAAATTCCCTTTATTTCCTCACAAGGGGAGCACACGCTGATTTATTGATACTGATATGTTTTGAAGCCAGGCAGACCAGGGGGATGACATGACTGGAAACATAAATGGTCTTCCTCTGAGGTCTGTTGTCATTCTGAAGTGTTCCAAAATCCTTCGGTTTTCGTTTGGCTTCCTCTTCTTTGCAGTCTTTCTCACATAGCATTTGCTGCGCAGGGAGAAGTTACAGCTCGAAGGCCCCAGCTAATAACAATAAATTCCCTTACCCAACTGCACAGTAGCACATCAGGAAAGCGCTCTCAGCCTGGGAGCGCTTTGCAAGTAGAAACTTCCCTCTGTCTGATTTCAGAGACCTGACTTAATTCCAGTCTGAGGAGAAACTAGCTGGGAAATGCCTAGTTTCCCAGTGTGTTGGCTCATTAACGTCACGTTTGCTGTCCTGTTTCAGCATGGACTGTCTGCGCTGAAAAATCAAGCTGTTGGTTCAAAGACACTGTAGCCTGTTAACCTGCATTGCTACACCTCCTCAGATTTGGAGCGGTGTGCTTATATTCAGTGATTCTTAGGTGTGTTTTTGGTGTAATTAATGCAGGTGTAGACGAATGTACCTGCAGTTGTTGCAGTATTTTGTGTGCTCTTCTGCCAGACCATGCAGTTACCGTGCCGTGGAAAAGCTCAAAGCATACCTGACCTGATTGAGGCGTCTCGTGTTGCAGAGCCAAGTACATGTCTACAATCTAGCGCTGAGGAATTTGGAAAATGGGTTTGCTTGCCAACACTGAGGATAATCAAGCCTCTGCAGATATCGGCAGTCAGGAGACTGAGCTCTGGTAACTGCTGGACAGGCATTTAAATAACTTCCTTTTGTTTGTGCGTGTGTGTCTTTGTTTTGTTTTTCTCTATTAGAAAGAGAAAAGGAGAAGAGGTAGATGGAAATGTGACTACAAAAAAGAAACAGAAGAAAGAAAAAGAGAAAGAATCCAAGCAGGAGAAACAGCTGAAGGTGAGTTTTAGCTGATCCCGTCCTAGTAATCGCCTCACTGGAGGAGTGCAGTGCCAGGCACGGGCTGAAGAGCTGTGACACCTAGAGAGGGGCTGTGACGGTGCCCAGGCGAAGCAGAGCTGCAGCACAGCTGGTCGTGTCCAGGCACGGGAGATGCCCTGTCACTTAGGCTTTGCTGAAGGCAGTTCACCCTTCTGCTTTCCCTCCAGACAGGAAGCAACTGCTCCGGGACTTGTGGGATTTAAATGGATTAGGTTAAATGCCTTTTCTCTCCAGGAGGCTGGTTCTGTCCTTCCTGTATCATCTGGTTGTGGCTGAAGCTCTGAGCCTGAGCACTGCTGCAGAAGTGCCTGGAAGCCAATAAATTGCTCATTGTCAAAATTAACCTAGTTCTGTGCTTTACCTCTAATGAGACATCATGTACTTTTCACCCTCTGGAGAGCTGCATTCAGTTCTTGGGTACAAAGTGTGAGAGATCACAGCTTTCTACCTTTCACTTTCTGGAATATCGTGTGAAGAATTCCCAGTAGATCGTCAGGAATTTTGTATTTATTGAAAGTTTGGCATAGGTACTTTCCAAGAAAACAGTTAACAAGCTGCTTTTGCTGCAATTGAAGTCTGAATGGAACTGTAGCAAAATGGTGTGTCTGCCTTTGAAGGGAAGTTTCCTTTTCTGTTCTGTGGCAATTCCTTAATTTTCAGCAAAACTTAGCTGAGACACTATAAAGGTTTTGCTGCTGCAATGCAGATATTTAGGACATAGCAAGGCAATTTGTGGATCAGGGTTAACTTTGGGTTCGCTCATTTTTTCATTTTTTCAAAGGCATTTCATCAAGCGTGATCATTAACACTGAAAATTAAACCATTCAGCGCAGTTAACCAGCCCTCCCAGGTTAGACTGCATTTTTGAGTGTACCCAGTGAATAACATTCGGAAACTCAGATATTTTAGGATGCTGCTTTGTTGTCCAACCCTTTCACCTTTTGTAGAAAGGCTCAAAAGTATCCACGGGCTCCTCGGCACCGCTGCAGGTGACCGACCTAGCGTAAATTCTCTTACGCTCAGATGGCTTAAAAGAAGGCAGTGCCTGTCAGCATTTCTGATTTTTGTTTTAATGCTCAAGTGCTGCCGGATCCCTGCTGTTGGCAGCGTGAACTAGTTTGGTGGTGCTTGCAAAGGTTGTTGAGAGCTTGCTAAGTGTGGAAGTGGGACAGAAACGCAGGTTCCATGCTACCCAAAAGCTAGGTATCTTGTTAACATCGCTTGTACCTTCTCGTGTGGGATAGCGCTGTAAATGGCCTTTCCTCACGTGTGTATAATGGAGAACCATCGGTTTATATAGAATCCCTTAGGGATGCCCTTCCGCTGTGATCTTGCTGAAGCTGCGGCGCGTTTGTGTGTTCATACTGAAATGTGAAGTGTGTGGCTTTAAAGACCTGTTTTGGGTGTTGGGGTAAAATGTGTGACTCTCCTTTTGGGTAAAGCTGCTGGTTCTTGGTGCTCTTCGTCTCACAGCCTGCATTTAAGATACCGTGGGCTTGCTAAAACCTCGCCCACGTACTGCAATTTGAGGAGTGTCCTTAGGAAAGAATCGACTGCAAGTAGCTAAGCTGCAGGGTTTTGTCAACAGGAGCAAACGGAGCTGATCTGGGGCATCAAGGACGAGCTGAGGAAGGTCTGCTCCACTAACGACCTGAAAGAGCTGCTGATCGCCAACAAGCAGGAAGTTCCTTCAGGGGAGAATGCCGTGAGTTCCCCTCTAGTCGCTTTGCGTGTGTGCTGGGTCTTTGAACTGGAGAAGCTGACCCGAACCGGTGTTGCTGCAAGGTCCACGAGTCCGAAGCATGTTCCTAGCGTAACCCTTCAGGAGGAAATGAGTGCAAAGCCCAGTCCTTTTGCCCCAGGACTCTGATGATACTGCTGTTACGCTTGCCTGTGAAGGGCTGTGTGGTGGTGTGTGATGCTGAATTCAGTGCCTGGGTCTGAGATGTGCCTTTATTCTGCTATGCCCAAACTGGTCCATATGGTTTTTTTTGTTGCTGGCTCTTCAAGAGCAGGTTAGTTATGGCACTTCACATCTCCTCCCTCAACGGTTAAATTATGCAAAAAGAAGCAAAAGCTGCACAAATTCTTTCCTGGTATCTTTTCTAAAAACAGTCAGTTCTCAGTCTGTATAACTCGCGAAAGTCTGCCTTTTGGAGCCACACATCACTAAGTATTTGTTAAGACTCTTTGTAAGAAGCGTGGGCTGGGATGTGGGAAGTGTCTAGACTCAAAACGGTCAAGAAATACTTTCTAGGCAGGAAAACCGGGACTTGTCGGAGCCTACATTCCCACCTACCTACCCATGTGCTCAGATGCAGTAGCTCATCCCCTTGTGGCACGGCGGCCTGGTCAGGTGCTGCGCGGTAGGTCTGTTCTCCTGAACGCAGAATCCAGGTGGGACACACTGCCAGTCATGAGTGTGAGAGGTGTGGTGTGACCGAGGAAACTGCGTGACGTGTTTTTAAGGCATTGTAAATCAGTAGGCTCTGGTAGGAGGCCTGGTTTGTGTGCATGCCAAGCACTGGGAAGGCTTGCGTTAGCATTCCAGCAGCCTGACGCTTGTCCAGCCCGGCATGATGTGGTATGTGGGCTTCCACCCTCCTTCTGCCGTGACCTGTTCTGTATTCTTTGTGGCTTTTAGATTTTGGACCGAGTGGCAGATGGGATGGCGTTTGGAGCTCTGCTTCCCTGCGAGGAGTGTAAGGGGCAGTTTGTGTTCAAGAGTGACGCGTACTACTGTTCCGGGGATATTACTGCCTGGACCAAGTGCGTTGCTAAAACGCAGACCCCCAACAGGAAAGACTGGGTAATCCCAAAGGTGGGTGTTTATGGAAATCTTGAGCTGAAGCACGCTTCCTAACTGGCGTTACCCCATGTAAGGAGATTGAGTAAGCACAGCTAATGCATAAGTAAATCACATTTTTTCCAGTAACATTAAATTGAAAAAGAAGTTGCTGATTTGATTTGAAACTCATTGTATCATGGAATCACAGAAGGATTTGGTTTGGAAGGGACCTTACAAACCATCTAGTTCCAGCCCTCCTGCCATGGGCAGGGACACCTTCCACTAGACCAGGTTGCTCCAAGCCTCATCCAGCCTGGCCTTGAACACTTCCAGGGATGGGGCATCCACAGCTTCTCTGGGCAACCTGTTCCAGTGCCTCACCACCCTCTCCGGGAAGAGTTTCTTCCTGATACCCAATCTAAACCTCCCCACTTCCAATTTAAACCCGTTACCCCTCGTCCTGTCACTACAGGCCCTTGTAAAAAGTCCCCCCCAGCTTCCTTGTAGCCCCTTCAGGTATTGGAAGGGGCTGTAGGGTCTCCCTGGAGCCTTCTCTTCCAACCCAAACTCTCCCAGCCTGTTTTCTTAGCAGAGGTGCTCCAGCCCTTTGATAATCTTCATGGCCTCCTCTGGACTCGCTCCAACAGGTCGATATAGCCACTTCTGGCTTTGTTTTCTCAGTCAGTAAAGTGGGTATTTGCCTACCTTAGTACAAATGTCTCAGAAATCCTTTCCAAGACCTGCAGTAAATGCCAAAGTCTGGCCAGTGCTCAATTTAGCCTTTACGTCTTACATAATAGTATTTTGTTGTTTTTAAACTCCTTATGCTTCCATCCCACAGGAGTTTCGGGAAATTCCTTACCTGAAGAAATTCAAGTGTAAGAAGCAGGACAGGGTATTCCCTCCCGATGCTGCAGCTGCGAACTCGGTGCCTCCTCCTTCCGCATCTGTTCCTGTGACAGAGACCATGTCTGCACCCAGGGGTAAGCAGCTGGCCAGGCACTGGTCAGTGGCATTCAGGGTGGTGTGTAGTGCAAATCCCAGCCAGACGAACGTGCTACCCGGAACAGACATGCTGTTCTTCTGTCCCCAAGCAGGCAGAGCTCTCCTGGTGAGCGAAGCATAGCAGAGTCACGTGCATTTGACCTCCTGGTTGTTTGCTAGTAAATCTGTTTGGGTGTTTGTTGATTGTCAGAAACATACAGGCCCATGTTGCAAAATGTGTCTGTGAAATGCCTTCTTGCTTGGTTTCCTTGGGGAACATCCAGGGACCTCCATAATGCCAGATACTCCACATTTCTTTAGGTTTTAAGGGCAAGATTTCCCTCCCCCCCCCCCAAATCCATTGGGATTTGGCTTTGTCAATTGCTGACTCCCCTTATGGAAAACAGATAAGCCATCTCCATCCCACAAGTCAGCAAAAGGTTGGACTCCAGAAATTCCCCATAGGCTGTTGGAATGCTTTGGTGACACAGCCTGTCCACTGAGAACTATGCTGACTTCTTCCTTAGCCAACCTTTTTAGCCCTGGTCATAGTTTTAGGGGCAGGGGATTATTGTTACTTGGTGAAAAGGGTGGGAGTAACTCTGCACAGCTAATTTTAGCCAGGTCATGTTAATTAAGCAATGAAGGACCTACCTGCATTGCAAACTGTTAATGAGATGATGTGATGGAGCCTGAGGTGTTACTGGTTTGCTCCTGACTTGTTATTGGTTTTGCATGATACAACCTTGTACTGCCTGTGAGATAACGACTGGAATGTACGCTGACGTGGGAATGCTGTTGCTTGAGAGACAGTCCTTTCTCCAGCCTCTCAAAACCAGATTTGCTTTTGAAGAGGCAGAAGCTTTCATGTTACAGTGAGTTTCTCCCATGCTGTCCAAGTATGAAAGGAAAAGTGAAGCAGAGCAGAGTCTCTAGTAGCACAGTGCTGAAGCAGACTGGGTTTTTTTTTTCTCTTGGTGGGGGGAAAGGAAAAGGCAAATAACGTGCCTACATATCCATCTTCTCTTCCATCCCTTCTGTTTGGTAGGGGATGTTGAGCTCTCTTGCCCTTCCTAGGTGAAGGGGAGCTTCCTCCCACTTGCCTCGTGCAGGTCAGACCTGCGTGGACCCTTGTCTCCCTGTCAGCTGGGCTGGTTCCCCTGAGCGGGGGTGCCATCTCTCTCTGCTTGTTATTTGCTGGGGGGGGTGGGCCCTGTGCCTGCTGCTAACGGGCTGTGTTATTTCTGAACCCCTAGACAAACCACTGACCAACATGAAGATCCTGGTTCTTGGAAAGCTGTCAAAGACCAAGGAGGAGACGAAGGGCGTTGTGGAGGAGCTGGGAGGAAAGATGACGACAACAGCGAACAAGGCCACGCTGTGCATCAGCACACAGAGTGAGCAGCCGTGCCTTAGTCGCTGGTAGCAGTGGTAACAGAGCTGGGCGGATTAGAGGGGGCACACGTCCTCGGAGGAATCTGGGGATCAGTGTTTGGATTAGGGGGAGTGTTTTAGGAGCACGCATGCCCTTGGTGTGCTTGGAAAAGCAAAGGCAGGAGCGTGCCGTTTGAGTTACGCTTACCTAGCGTGTTAATCCTGTGCCGTGAGGCTGTGTCAGGTCTGCAGCAGCTGAAGCTCGGGTCTGTGTGCAGGCCACCCTTGTGGGGTTACAGCTGCTGGGCGCTGCGTCTGTGCTGCCCTCGGAGAAGCTGCGGAGCTGACTGAGGGTGCCTGAGGGCAGTTGTTTTCTCTGCTGACAACAGAGGGGCTGCTCTTGCTCCCTGTTGGAGTCCAGGTGTAAACTGGCTGCTGAGGTAGGAGATCTGCTCCCACCTGCCAGGAGGTCCAAGAGGGACTGTAGAACCCCAGCCCAGCTCTGGGAAGGAGAGAGCTGGACCTTTATTCCTGCTCTAGCCCAAGCTGCAGCTCTGAGCAGGTAGGGATTTTACTCTCCAAAGAACAGGGTGATTCCAAAATGTGGTGGAAGTATGTTTCCTCATAGTGTTGGAGATCCTTCCTCTGGCCACGATTCAGGAGGCTAAAGTCTGAAACCTCACTGATGCTTTTTCTCTCTGTTTCCCACCCTGCCTCTGCAGAGGATGTGGAGAAAATGAGCAAGAAGATGGAAGAAGTGAAGGAGGCCAAAGTCCGTGTGGTCTCGGAAGGGTTTCTTCAGGATGTGAAATCCTCCAGCAAGGACTTTCAGGAGCTTGTGTCTCTCCATGCGCTTTCACCTTGGGGTGCGGAGGTGAAAATGGAGCATGAGGAAATGGCCGTGGATGGGAAGTGCAGCAAGCCCCCGAGTATGAAGAGTGCTGGGAAGGTCAAAGAAGAACAAGGTGAAGAACAAAGCAGTGGTTTCTCCACATGCCTGTTCAGGGCTGTCCATGCACAAAGAAAACGTGGGTGTAGTTTATCCTTGTCGTTTTCTGTCCCTTTTTTCATACTGCATAATGATGCCCTAGCTTAAAGACCAGCTGTAAGTAAACATGAAACTGTCTCCTGAACTGGCTCTTATTTTCCATGGCTCAGTCTTGCTTCAGAGATCTGTGCTGTATGTGCCCAGGCTGTATTGTGCCCCTGTATTGTTCCAGACTCTTCCTCATAACACCTCAGCTTCTCTACCAGTTTGGGTCAGTGCTGCAGCTCCAAGGAGGAGTTCTCAGAGTCCTCCATGTCCTCCAAGCACAGGCTTCTGTCATACAATGTTAATGCCAGACTGTCTCACAGCAGTATGATCTCTGGGGGACATGAACACCCCCCACATGCTGTCAGGTTTTTAAATCCCACTTAAACACAACCACAGATCTGACTTGTTACCTGCTGTGCAGGTGAAAAACATGATACAGCCCACCCCTTGGGGCCAGAGGGAAGGAGATAAAATCTGGAGAGATCTTATTTTTCATTTAACTGGGGAGGTGGGGGCTGCTAAAGTCAGGTAAAAAAAAGCCATGGAAGTCATTGTGCTCATATACTGGGAATCTGATTCAAAGTCTCCTTAGGGTGGTAATTATGCAAATTGAGAATTTAAATGTTGAGTCAAGTCAGACTGTGTTGCCTGCCTAGGAAAAAAATTAACCTTTTTTTTTGCTGCAGGACCTAGCAAGTCTGAAAAGAAAATGAAGCTAACGGTTAAGGGTGGAGCAGCAGTTGATCCTGATTCTGGTGAGTGATAACAGTGGCTGCCCTCCACCACACACAGAGTTGAGGATGCGTGATCCTTTGCCACATGCCTTTCTGTGACGGGATAAAGGTTCCATAAAAGAAATGTGAATTTTTAAACCATTTCTTCTTGCTGTCAAAGGAAGGGTGTTGATTGACATTCAGAGCTGGGTATTCTAGGATTTTCTGGTGTAACTTCCAAAAGAACCACTCAAACTGAGGAATGCACCTTGTTCTGCTTCAGGCCCATCTGTCAGTGGGGCACATAAAGGCCTAGAGCCATCAGAGGCCACAGGCTTGGCAGAGCCTCCGGGCATTTTGGGAGGCAGCTGATACTACTCTCCAAAGCTATGGTGCACGGACATTGTTCTGATAATGCATAGTGCATCCACGGCCAGCCTTGGGTTTTTCAGGACGTTTGCTAACGTGACACCAGCCGAGCTGTGTCTCTCTTGAGAATTCCTCCAGCCATTCATGCAGCCTTAAATTAGAGTTTTAGGTGATCCTTTGTTGAAAGTTACAATTTTTCTCTCTCACTAGGATTGAGGTTCACTGCAGTGTATCTGAAGGTGGGTGCTCACAGCTTACTAAAAGGAAAACGTGCTTCATGTATTTTTGAATGGGCATGTGGTCACTGGTTTTGCAGTATTTTTGTTAAGGGTGACATTACTTCATGAAACATTTGGGTGAGCGCAAATGTAGGAGAGGGAGAGCTGGAATGGTAACCTTCGTGTTCTGTTTTGTTTCTTCTCTGTAGGTTTGGAGGATTCTGCTCATGTGTTTGAGAAAGGTGGAAAGATTTTCAGTGCAACTCTGGGCCTAGTAGATATTGTGAAAGGAACAAATTCCTATTACAAACTGCAGCTGCTAGAGGATGACAGAGAGAACAGGTGAGTTGAGTTTACTCTAGAAATACTTTTGCTCACTTTTTTCTCCAATATATATTGGATTTTTGGCACTACAAGAGCAAAGTATGAGTAAAATGTCTTTGTAGGAGATATGGATAGGTATATTTAAAAAAAAAAACCACACACCAAAAAACAACAACAAACCACCCCTGGGGAGATCTGTGCTTGGCATGGAGACATTTCTTTTTGTGGTGTTGACAAAACCTGAGTTGGGAGGTGAGTAATTTTGCAGAATTGCATCTGGTAGCGTTATTCCTGCATCCTGGGATGAGCGAGGTATGCGTAATTGAGGTCTTTAAGACTGGGTTAATTGCTGAACAGGAGGGCTGCAGTGCTGGGACTCATGGCTACCCTTGAAACTACAGAAGCAGAAGGGGGCCTCCTCTGTTCTAACATCAAGACCCCACACAAAGTCAGTGATGTTGGGAATCTTTCCTATATTTTCCAACTGGCTTTTGTCATCTAACTGCAGAGCTGTAACCTTGGGAATCAAACCCAGATTCTGGCTGTTCTACCACAGTGAAGTCCTGAACAGAGTGCCCTGCAGCTTAACAAAATGCACTGAAGTGGTCAGGGGACGATCGTGTGTTTAGCTTTCCAGTGTCATCAGACACGTGTCCGAGCTGTCTGGTGGTTGCATTACTGAACTGGAAAAAGAAGTTGAGAGGGCTTTTTAATACAAAACTGCTCACCTGAGCACGTAGGGAGTGCGCAGAAATCCAGGGTGGCTGATGGCTGTCAGCAACGACCCTGCTTTTAGTCTGGATTTATTGCACTTACAGTGTTCATAATGAGCTTTTGTTGCTGGCTCTTGTATGTGGGGTTTGTGTCTGGAGGATGCAACATGGAGGGATCTCTGTGGCTGCGTTTCGTGCCTGACATACTGGGAAGGTTGATGGATTGTATCCCTGTAAAGGCTACAGAAGCTCATAGTATGTATGTATTTTATTTATGGTGTCAGCAATGCAAACAAATACTTGCGTTATTTCTGTTTTCTCTGAACTCCTGGACTTGAGGCTTAAAGATGCACTGTGTCTGTTTTTCAAATAGATGACCCCAATAGTCTGAAGATTCGTATTTGTGAAACGTGAAGACTGAGTGATGTGAGCCCCTCTTTTCCCGCTCTGCACACATTTATCCTCAGGCCTGTAGGTCTGGCGTGTGAACACTGGGCATTTTTTTTTCCCCACCAGTTCCGGATGTAAGCTCTGTGGTGGCTTTTCTGTTGCTCCCCTGCAGTCACTGATAGAGAGTGTCTTCCATAAAACCGAGGGTATACACATGCAGTCGCACAGTTTTTGCAGGGTCCGTTCCGTTTGGATGGAGATTCGGAGCCAGAGTATCTTATGTTTGTTCTTCTCTCCCATTTCGCTTCTCCAGATACTGGGTGTTCAGATCCTGGGGGCGTGTGGGCACTGTCATTGGGAGTAACAAGCTAGAGCAGATGCCATCAAAAGAAGATGCCGTTGAACACTTCCTGAATTTGTACGAAGAGAAAACTGGAAATTCTTGGCATTCAAAGAACTTCACTAAATATCCCAAAAAATTCTACCCACTGGAAATAGATTACGGACAGGTAACTCTGAAATGTTCCCCTGTACTGGGGGAGCGTTGCTCAGCTGCTTTCCTCTGGCTGTTCTGCTTGCTGTTGGATTGCTTACACTTAAGCCTGAGGAGTGAAGTGCAGGGGCAACTATCACATCCTCTCTGTGCTGCGGAAAGAGAGCTGTGGATCAAGGAGTCTCACGCCTTAAGAGATGTGTTGGGAAACTAGGTAGTTTTCCATTGTCAAGTAGGAGGCCCGTTTAGTGCCCTTTCCTGTTTACTCTGTAACTTTAAGGGTGTTAATTTGAACTTAATTCAGCAGTCGTTTCACATACATCCTCTCTGAAAACACCACTTACTTTTTATTTAAAATAGGTACTTCTCATCTGCCTTGCACATCCAAAATCCTCCCAAATGGCAAAGCAGCACCTATGGGGCGTTCTGCGCAGTGCATAGAGCAGGCTGAGAAATTACTCATTGCCAGTAAGATCTGGCTACTTAGACAGCTAAACTAAATAAGAATTCTCTTCCTTCTGCCCAGTGGGAGTTTGGATGTTTATTTAAAGGCATACCCATAACTTAACCTATTTTCAGATGCGTAGTTGAATGCTGTTAATAGCTATAAAGATAGCAGAGAAAGTATTTTCAAGCCGTTGCCTTTCTCTGTGGCCAGATTACCAGATGTCATCTTTCTGTGTGAAGCACTTGATGCGTAGCTTTATTTCTGGAAACTTGAATATTGCAGTGGCAAAGTGTCTGTTAAACAGCAGCATACAGTGTACTCTGAAGCATCTGACAGATGCTTTATTATTGATGCAACGCTCTATCCCTGAAAGCGTCTAGATGGGATTGTGGCTAATTGATGATTCCTGTACTCATCTATGATAGTTTTTATTACAAAAACTTAGTGAAACCAGTTATTAAATCTCTATTTTGTCATAAAAGCAACAAAGTGAACAGTAATTTGTCCCATCAAGGTCTCTATGCAGCAGAAAGTTTGCAGAAAAAGTAATTAATAGTGTTGCTTGAGGTGAAGCAAAGATGCACACAGAGTTCCCATTCCCTTAATTCTACTTAGATTTTACAGTACCATCTCTTGAAATAATGTCTGTCAAATTACAGAATAGGTGGATTTTTAAACCCACTTTGTTCCAAAATGTCAGAGCAGTGTCCCACGCTCCCCATGAACTTCAGGCTACTCATAGTATGCATACACTAAATTGGTTTTGAGTTGTTACCATGACAACCAGCATGTTACTTTCATCCTTTGTGATTTTGCTAATTCTGATACTATTTTTACCTCCCAGGATGAAGAAGCTGTCAGGAAACTGACAGTGGGTGCAGGGACTAAGTCAAAACTTGCTAAGCCAATCCAAGACCTTATTAAGATGATCTTTGATGTGGAGAGCATGAAGAAAGCGATGGTGGAATTTGAGGTAACTGCTCGTGTTCACGTTTCTCGCTTCTAACCCTCTTTTCTCTCATTACATCATACTTAGGCAGCCAGAAGCAAGTTCTTTGCCATCCAGGGTTCATCATAATTGAGGAAATGAATGTGCAACTCAGACTTTAGAAATGCTGCTGGTTGATACATGCACTAGTGAAGTGCCTTGACAAAGTTCAGTTCCTATTCTGAAGAGGGCCTAACTTGAGATGTTGTTTGTTCCTGTATTTACCATTTGTTCTAATGATACCCTAATTTCATCCATTCTTCTTTCCTCCGTACTTCTTGATCTGCGTTTCTAATCTTTCAGAGAGTAGTCTGGTAGCATCATCTGTCTTTCCTTGCCTAGAAACGGTTTTACTGGTGTCAGAGATCCTGCAGTCTCTTTTAATGCAGCCACTCAAACCAGGTTAATTCTAAATAACAGGTTGTGTTTTCTTCAGCCAGCTTAGATACCCTGCTCCAAGACTTCATATTTAAAGCAGCTGCTCTTTGCTCTCTGTATCAGTATTTTGTGTATCTGCTTTTCAGAACAAGCTTTGTGCCATCTCGTGCAGCTTGTCCGAAAGATTTTGGATGGCTTGCCCAACATTTTGTAGTACCTTGGGTTAATTGTGTATTTTTAGTGGCTCTTTACATCAAAGTCTTCTAAAATATTAATAATTCTTTTAACTGGAACTGGCTAAAGGCTTTGAACTGATCATCTGATGTCTTCTGGATCTGTAGAACTCTGTTAAAACTATGTTAATACACAACAGCTGCAGACCTGGGAGTCCAGATGGGCCTGTCTTCCTATTAGATTTATCTTCCTGTACTGTTGCTGCCAAACAGCTGTTTTCCATTAGAGAAAATAACGTTTTTCCTAGTTAGAGGTTTCTGTGCATCCTCTGAAAATGTCTTGCTTGCTTCTTTTAATCAGCCTGATCTCAAGTATTTCATTCTGTCCAGGCACTCTCCTTCTGCCAAAAGCAGGGCAAATTCTTAGTCTTTACATTACATGACAGTAGACTTATCTGATGTCTTCTTTTCCCGACTCTAATCTGGCTTTCAAGAGTTTTACTTTACCAAGCATACAGGAGTTTATTACAGTTGCCTACGTCGTTACCTCTTGTGAAAAGGCTGGTTAGAGGGGTGAGTCTACTCCAGTGCCGTGTCCTCCCTTGCCTGGGTAGAAGGTAGGCGTCTCCCTTTGGCTGTATGTGGGCTCTGTAGGAGATCTGTTAGTCAGTCACATTGTTGGACAATGTGTTAGTGCTTAGATGGGTTAGTTTATAGGTTTATGTAACTTAGTATAGGCATCCACTGCTGTTCTGCACATCCAGGTTAAATGGCCCGTTTTATGCGTTCTTCATGATTTTTCAGCTAATAATTAGACAATATAGATGGATGGTACTCAACAAAAAAGTATTTCGCCCGGAAGTTGGGGAGCTACAAATCAATTTCCAGTTGTTTTTCATTAGGTTATTAATCTTGACTTTGTGACTCTCATGTCCCCAAGATGTGATCCGTTTTTGAAGTCAGTCCCCCATGTGTTTTTGTAGTATCTGGCTTCACGTTGTGCTTAGCTGCAGCTAAAGGGGAAAATTCCCCTAAGCCCAGGGCAGGGTGGAAATCTCTGCACAAAATCATTTCAGGGCTTTCACGCCAGTCTGCGGCTTGGAGGAGCCTTCTGAGTTCAGCTTGCAGAGGAGATTTGCATAAAGCTGGGTTTCCCAGCTCCATAGTGAATAAATAATGTGGAATTTATCCAGGTGGTACATGATGGACATGGTTTCATAGGCTTTTCTGTCCTTGAGCTGAATCTTAAACCCACCAAGTTAAGGAAAAGCTAGTTTGACTTGCAGGGTGTCCTTTGAGTATTGTCAAGGGTGCAGAGGGTGTTTGTATGATCTTCGTAAAAGGCTCCATTGGACTTTTGTGGAACGTTTTTGCATTCAGATGGCCCTTAACTATGCAAGGATTTAAGGCAAATCCAAAACTCTCCCTTCAGTGCCTGAAGGGGGCCTACAAGGAAGCTGGGAGGGGACTTTTTACAAGGGCCTGTAGTGACAGGACAAGGGGTAATGGGTTTAAATTGAAAGTGGGGAGGATTAGATTAGATATCAGGAAGAAATTCTTCATGGAGAGGGTGGTGAGGCACTGGAACAGGTTGCCCAGAGAAGCCGTGGATGCCCCATCCCTGGCTGTCTTCAAGGCCAGGCTATATAAATTAATCAGTGGATAAACCAAGGCATCAGTTTTAACTTAGTTGCTTTTTATTTGGTTCATTTTTCATTAATGAATATGTAGCATCTTACAGCCTCTTTGCGTTTGACCCTTGATAATTGTAGGGTAGGGTTGGACGGAGGTGTCTAGTTGTACCTAGGGACACAAATGCTCTAATGAGTAAGAATCATTTCATTCAGTTTGCTGCTTTGCCAGCCTGAAACATGTGCTACTTAAGTGAATGGAGGAATCCATCAGACACCTGGTCAATGTTAAACTTCTAGCAGGGGCTTAGTACCCTATTTTTGTGTTGCCCTAGCGTGCATGCTTAGTTTCCTATCGCAGTATTCCTTTGTTTCTAGGATGTGTCTTCCCACTAGCATGCACTGTCCTTCTGATATCATTCCTTGATCCACAAAGATTAATACCAAGTCTGAAATGTTTCCATTCTTCATGTGGTCAGTCCTACCAGGGTGGAGAGTTTTGTTCCGTAGAAATGGAGAGGGAATGCTGTAGTGGTTCCAGTGTAGTGAAATCATGTTTTAATCATTTAAATCTTCATCAGATTGACCTGCAGAAGATGCCACTGGGAAAACTGAGCAAGCGACAGATCCAGAGCGCGTACAGCAGGTGAGCGTGAAAGAGATGTTCGAGCAAGAGGGGAATTCAGAAGTTGTTCTGGGCTCAGGGTGGAGTGAATGCGGAGTTGTGTGTATAAAGATCTGTGCGCTCTCTCGGTAGAGAAGAGGATGTGCCTTCCAGGGGTAACTAGTTCGTTCTCTTCACCCGTTTGGGCACTACTTGTATCTTTCACACTTGGGTAGTACAAACGTCAGGCGGAACCAGACATAAATGACGGTTGAGCAAATGATGCCTGCGTCTTGTTCTGGTAGCGATCTGGTGTGTCCACCCCGAAGAGATCTGTGTGAGGATGAGAATAAAGGTAACGTTGGCACAGGAAAGGGTCTGGCTTGGTGACATTACTGTATTTACACACCATTATCTGGATTGTTCCAAGAATCACTACATAGTATTGCCTGAACAGCTTGCAAAAGTGTACCAGCATACCCCATTTTTTTTCATGGGCTCCCTGGCAAAGCATAATGTGGGAAGTTTTACTTCAGTTTTTAGAGCAGACCAGAACCTTGCTAAAGACATGCACCCCTTTCCATATCCAGAAACCTTTATTTTTTGCCTTCCAGAGGCATAATCCCCATTAGGTTTTTCTCATATCAGAAATTCCATGTATTGTTGTGCAAGTACTGTGACTTATACATGCAAAACAATTAAATAGAATCGCCCCTTTTAGTCCCATGAGAGTTTCAGCATTAACACTAATACTCAAAAGCAGCAATACAAATAGTCCCCAAGTATCTCCTGTGTGTCTATCACTGTGGAGACTTAATCTTACTCAGTAATTTTCTTTGGTGCTTGTTGTCTTGTCTAGGCAGTTTCTGACAATCGTTCAGAATCCCAGATCTTGGACCTCTCCAACCGCTTCTATACTCTGATTCCTCATGACTTTGGGATGAAGAAACCACCTCTCCTTAATAACTTGGAATACATTCAGGTATTGACTGGAAACAGTATGTGGTTTGCAGGCAACAGGTCTGATACCGGACATCTAACACAGAGGATTTGTGAGGTTTTAAGGCTTAATTTACCCTCATGCTTTCATGGCATTAAGCTTGGTTTTAGTCAAACATCTTTGTTTATGTGCATATATAAGTGTATACATATACAAATAATTATATATATAAGGCATTAGAAGATATGTTCCCTGTTCCAGAGGGTGGTGAGGCACTGGAACAGGTTGCCCAGAGATGTTGTGGATGCCCCATCCCTGGATGTCTTCAAGGCCAGGCTGGATGTGGCTTTGAGCAACCTGGTCTAGTGGAAGGTGTCCCTGCCCGTGGCAGGGGGGTTGGAACTACATGATCTTTAAGGTCCCTTCCAACCCTAACCATTCTATGATTATATATATATGTTATATAGGTGAATGAAGGTGTGATGAAGTTGCAAGAAGTCCAAGGGCAATCAGGAGAGACTTCAGGGCTTTGGGGTGACTGCTTAAGGGATCAGGAGCACAAGCAGTGTTCTCTATCCTTTCAGTTGCAGGGAATGATGAGGGAAGAAGCCTGGTGTCACCAGCAGAATTTTGGCTTTTTTGATCATGGGTCGGTTTACATGACACCAGGCCCGCTGGCAGCGGATGGTGTACATCTGCCTCAAAGGGACAAAAGGATCTTTGCACAGGAGTTAGCAGGGCTCACTGGAAGAGCTTTTAAACTACAGTTGAAGGTGGAAAGAGGTTAAAACAGGCTCGATGGAGATAAGCTTGGGGGCGGCACACCAGTGTTTGAGGGATGGTGTGCTAGTGAGGCTCTTTTGGTCCACCATCTCAGAGGAGGTAGGGGATGGAGATCCATGCGGCAACAGAGACGCAAGGGTTGTTGATGTATTGGAAACAACAGAAAGGCTGGAGAATGATCATCTAGGAAGACAGGATTCTTCTCCCAAAAAGGTGTTGGGATCAGTAGCCCAACTGAAGTGCATCTACACCAATGCACGCGGTGTGGCCAACAAACAGGAGGAGCTGAAAGCCGTCCTACAGTGGGAAAACTATGAAACAGTTGCCATCACGGAAACATGGTGGGATGACTTAGCAAATGGAGTGCTGCCATGGATGGCTGTAAGATCTTCAGAAGGGACTGGCAAGGAAGGAGAGGTGGTGGGGTAGCCTGGTGTGTTAGGGCGTGTTCTACTTCTCTAGTGCTTAATGATGGTGATGATAGGGTTGAGTGTTTATGGATAGGAATCAGGGGAGGGCCAACAAGGCAGATTTCACAGTGGGAGTCTGTTATAGACCACTCAGCCAGGATGGAGAGGCAGACAGGGAGAAGTTGGGCAATTTCTAACCCTTGTTCTTGTGGGGGACTTGAACTTACCAGATGTCTGCTGGAAATACAACACAGCAGAGAGGAGGCGGTCTCAGAGGTTGCTGGAGTGTGTGGAAGATAAATTTCTTACCCAGCTAGTGAGGGATCCAGCTAGGGAAGGCACCCGCTGGACCTGCTCTTCAAGAAAAGAGAAGGACTGATGGGTGATGTGATGGTTGGAGGCCATCTTGGGCGTAGTGATTACAAAACCATAGTTTTTGATTCTTGGAGAAGGGTGGTCAGCAGAACTACTGCCTTGAATTTCCAGAGGGCAGACTTTGGCCTGTTTAGGAGCCTGATTGACAGAGTCCCTTGGGAGGCAGTCCTGAAGGGCAGAGGAGTCCAGGAAGGCTGGACATTCTTCAAGAAGGAAATCTTAAAGGCACAGGAGCAGGCTGTCCCCATGTGCTGAAAGATGAGCTGGTGGGCAGACCAGCATGGTTGAGAGATTTGGCTGGAACTCAGGGGAAAAAAAGGAGAGTTTGAGCTCTGCAGGAAGGGTCAGGCAACTCAGGAGGACTAAAAGGATGTCATGAGGTTATGCATGGAGAGAATTAAAAGAGCCAGAGTCCAACTAGAACTTAATCTGGCTACTGCTGTAAAAGACAATTAAAAAGTGTTTACATAAATACATTAGCAACAAAAGGAGGGCTAAGGATAATCTCCATCCTTCATTGGATGCGGCATGAAGCATAGTGACAAAGGATGAGGAGAAGGCTGAGGTACTTAATGCGTTCTTTGCCTCGGTCTGTAATAGTAAGACCAGTTATTCTCCAGGTACTGAGACCCTGAGCTGTAAGACAGGGGAGCAAAATGAAGCCCCCGTAACCCAAGGGGAAGTGGTTAGTGACCTGCTACACCACTTGGACTCCCACAAGCCTATGGAGCTGGGTGGGATCCATCTAAGGGGACTGCAGGAGCTGGCGTAAGTGTTCACCAAGCCACTTTCTGTCATGTATCAGCAGTCCTCGCTAACCATAGAGATCCCAGTTGACTGGAAGTTAGCAAACGTGACACCCATCTACAAGAAAGATGGGCAGGAGGATCACCTTGAGTGCCATCACGTGGCACATACAGGAGAACCAGGCAATCAGGCCAAGTCAGCATGGGTTTATGAAAGGCAGGTCCTGCTTGACTAACCTGATCTCATTCTATGACAGCGGTGACCCATGTAGTGGTTGAGGGAAAGGCTGTGGGTGTTGTCTAGTAAAGCCTTTGACACCGTTTCCCACAGCATTCTCATGGAGAAACTGGCTGCTTGTGTCTTGGACGGGCACACAGTTCACTGGGTAAAAAAACTGGCTGGATGGCCTGTCCCAAAGAGTTGTGGTGAATGGAGTTAATTCCAGGCCACTGGTCACCAGTGGTGTTTGTTCCCCAGGGCTCGGTGCTGGGACCAGTTCTGTTTAACGTCTCGATCAGTGATCTGGATGAGGGGGTCAAGTGCACCCCCAGTAAGTTTGTGGATGACACCAAGTTGGGTTTGAGTGTTGATCAGCTTGAGGGCAGG